ATATATATAATATATATATATATATCGCCTGCCAGTGACGATCTCTGGGAAAGCTGATGCTTTCTCCCCCTTTGTACCTATTTGTGCTTTAGGTATATTCCGCAAGGGCATCAGGAAGAAGAGTGGAGAGGTGCGCCTATTCTGACAGTCCCACCTCATCAAACACCTGAACTTCCTCCCAAGTGGGGGGGCTCTCCCCAAGGATCGCCTCACCACCCCGTGGTCCAGGCTCCGACGCAGCATACAGAGTTGCCATAATAATGAAGATGCCTGCGCTAAGCCTCTATGCACAATGCATGTATCCGCGCGCGCATGCTGTCGTGTGCCCACGGATGTGTGCATCTGCATATACGAGTGAAAATATATGTTCATGGATTTCTGCATCCGTGTGTGCATATATCTAAGATTATGTACGTATCCTGTAATATACGTATATCTGCATGAATCAATCAGCATATCCATCGACCAGTACAGATAAGCAGTCGGACATTTGTCAGTGGCGATGGAAGATTATAGTTTTGCACAAGGAGTTTCTCGTCCTCAGACAGATGCGCGCACTCCTCAGGGCCGGGCAGGCAACACTATTTTTGTTTGAAGGGTTGTGCATTCTCAAACGTCCTTTGAACAAACGGCAGTGATGCCAAACGCAGCAGTCCAAATGTGTTGCAACCGAATGGAAGTAGGACAGGAGAAAAAAAGAACCAGGGAAGCCCCTGTTCGAAACAACACTCCAGGCACAAGCAGCCACCATAACAATGCAGTTAAACCTGTAGAGTGGAACGAGAACGAAACACCGAAGAGTTTGACTGTAGTTGTGTATTTGTAGAGTAGGTGGTCAGGTTGGTCATGGGAATCCAAGAAAGGCCTTCACAAGTAATTAGGATGTGCTGCTGACAGGGTCTAGTGGAGGCCTTGGCCACTTGGGCTGCTGCAGAGGGGGATGCACCTCAGGCCAGGTCGTCGCCTCCTCCCAGCAGTAGGACCACATTTACTATTGCTCAGGAAGAATGCAGAAGGGTGAAGATGGCAGCTGCTTTGAGAAATAAATTGTCTCGGGGATCCTCAAAGGCACCAGGTGCAAGGGACGAATACGCATTCGCATCCTGCATTCAGGAACCCTGAGTCAGAACAATATGCAGTTTTGACGTTGCCTTTACTGACCGAGCAGGACGTTTCTGACAAGAGAATATAGGACTTTCAACAGTTTGCTCTTCATGTCGAAAAATTATTTTCGTCGGGGGGCTTCCGTGAGCCGGGTCGGGCCACACGGTGCCGTGGAACACTCCATCCAGCCAGAAGTGCTGTTCCCATAAGTACGGCTCATATACCCCCGCATGCGTGCAGGTATTGTCGATGCCGCGGTGGAGTGCAATTAAACTTGTTCCTTCGAACGTTCTACCTCTGCCTGCATTTTGCTTTCAAAAGGGGAGCCACAAAAACTTGTTCTGATGTCTTCCAGAAACCTGAATTTATTTTCTACACTTTCGCTTACCGATCCGGACAATGGAAAGCCTTCGTGGCCGAAGGCGACAAATGTCCTTACCAATGAGACGTCAAGCACTATCACGATCAGCACGGCATATGCAAGGCAGCTGCCGACACGGGCAGTGCATACAGAAGTACTGCCACGTAGTGAGCTGCGGTGGACTAGGAACTTTCCTGTCAATTGTTAATCTCATAAGTGTCCATTGGTGGGAAGAACTCAATAGCAGGCTGGCCCATGGACGTGGAGCTAAGGAGTGAGCTGTTCGACAACCCTGAATAGGCAGCTTGTGCATCAAAGGAAGGAAAACGTCGTTTATTCTTCCCTGTCTGAATGAATTGGAGCTGTCTCTCCCAAGAGTGTAAAAACGGCGAGGGAAGCCAACTGGATTCTCTACCCAGAAAGCTAAGGGTAGGAAGATTTATAGAGCTGCGTCTGCTCACCAGATCCTACAATTCTGCATAGTGTGTGCGTCAAGGTTAGGGAAATACAGATAGGTTGGCAGTGATTCAGGCCTAGCCAACGGACACCCAACAACACTAGCAGCTAACAGCAACACACTCTGGCGTAAATGTAATTTGCAACCCAGTGGAGATAGCCTTCCTGGCAAAAATCCCTTGGGCTAGATTTTTGCTTGTTCCCGATAGCATTATTGTTGAGTAATTGTCGGCGGCTGTGCAATCCACATCCACAGTGTGGACATATGAAGTATATTCTGTTCGGAGCAATCTCCATAGGTACGGGTACAGGATAAACATCACGCGGAGGTTTGGCCCAAATGTGTCTGTATAATGAGGGGCTAGCCAGCATATATGCCATATTACCAATACTCAAGAGCACTACTTAGATGGGCTTCACACTGTTCCCAAACTATGAGTATCTTAATTCCCGTATCCATGTAACGCGGATCGCAGTCTGCTACGTTACGGACGAGTCCCAAATGCCAACACTATGGGAGATCGATGCTGTTGCAACGACCGTTGGACGAGGAACCATAGTTTCGCTTGGCCACTCAGCATGAAATGCAGTCGGAAGGTTAACCTTTGGGAAGCTTTGTCCCTTGGGAAAGGCCTACATGGACGGTTCTAGAGTTTCCTTATATATACTCGTCGATTTTGATTGGTTCCGTTGTAGGTCCTGTATGCTCCTAAGCTTTGCTGTCTGTGGAATCCTTTAGATATTGGCCTGTTGTAAAGCTTCAGGTTTGGCTGGGAAAACGGTGGATACAAGGGAGAACACGGAACATTTTGGGGCTGCAGGTTGACCGACGTTTGAGTCCTCTTACTAACTACGGCACGTAAAAGCCATACGTATTCAGCTGGGGTCCTAGGCCGTAGATAATGATAGCTGATGTGAGCGACCAAAATATTTGAGGTGGGGGAATGCAAAATGCATATTTAGGTGCTTTTGCAGCGGGGCAAAGAAGGGCGAAATTACATCGAGGCAGGGCTCGATGTCCAGCTATCCATGGAGAGTGGAGCACGGGGAGAGTTAAAGTGCGTGTCTTCTACACAAGTGGAGTACAACAGACGAAAAATAAACAAACATGTATTTGATGCCTTTATATGCTGGTGTGAATATAAAGTAAACCTTCTTTTACGGCCCTCTCACAGAGGCCGACGCGTTGCTGCAGCAACGGTCAGGCGGCTACAGTAGGATCCGAAGACGGCTGTTGTTTCGTCTCCTGTGCAGCGCAGAAGCTCACAGAGTGGGCACACATATAAACAATCATATAAAATACTGAATAGGTAGTTTTAGCTGCAGAAGGGCTTTTTGTAACCCCTACAAACTGGGACGAGTAATCGCGGAAACGAATGCTGCAGCGATACTCTTCGCCCAACGTGTCGATCGCGTCGTGCATGTGTGTCTTTCGGCGTATGAGCAGGTTCTATCTATGAATTTCAGAAGAGTTTCCATGAATGCCTGCTGAAGACAACACCTAAAACTCTGATTTCCACCCAAAAGCTCATTCCAGCCCGCCAAGCCTCTCCCGCGGACTTGCGGGGACGATCGCAGTACCGCATTGTTCCCGCACAGAATTGAATAATTCGCGGACATTATTTCCGTTTTAAATAGTTTTCTAATCCACGGTTTGTCCATGGGGTGCACGGAAAGAAAACGCTGGGATCGCAAGCCGGAGATCCGCTCGGCTTCAGCTGCTTATGGCTTGTCTCCCTAGGACCACTGGACTCAGGTACAACACGTTCGATTCTACCTCTTCCACACACAGCAGCGCCAAACAAGTGCTCAAATGTGGTTCTTCTCAAGCGCGGAAGGGCAGTCCGAGGGTCCTACAGGAGAGCCCCAACCAGACCAATCTTCCGTCCAGCCAGACCCCCCGCAGCAGCACCCTGACACAGGCAACGATGCCTCTCCAGAAGAACCAGGTGCGAGCTCAACCTCCTCCCCCTGGAGTCTCTGGGGGCAGCTGACGGCAGCTGCACAGGCACCAGGAGAGGTGGAGGAGACTGGAAGCCTTAGCTCCGCAACCAGTTCTGACAATGAAAGCGGCGCACAGCCCGTACATCTGTCTTCTATTGAATCCCCAGCAAGCAACGGTAACCACACACAGGGGGAGGGTCCCACGGAAAACGAGCAGGAACCTCAACAAGCATCAGGATGGAGCATTTGGGGGCACCTTGTAGGATCGCCCAGCACCGGAGAATCTGGTCCTGCTGCTGATGATGCGAACGTTGTATCTGGAACAGACGAGCCCGATAGTTCAGATGAAGAGGAGCCTGCAGTCGAGAATGAGCAGCAGGAAGAACCATTAGCCTCAACCGAAAAAGCTGCTGAGTCACCTGCTGCTGCAGTTCCCGGCGTTTTCAGCTGGAGTCTGGTTGGCAACCCTGCCTCCTGGATTCAGCCCCAGTTAGTAGAGCAGAATGCTGATCTTCCAACTGCGCAGGAGGTGCAGGAGGAAGAAAACAGTGAGATGGAAAAGAGCGCACCTTCGGGTTCAGCTGCCCTCCCAAAGAAACCATCATCGCCACACAGAGGCGAAGAAGATGATGCACCCCGAGGAGAGGATAAAGCGTACTCTTCACCCCTGAACAATCCTTCCAGCAGCAGCAACAGCTCTAACAACAGCAGCAGTTCGGAGAGTGAGAACGAGTCTTCCATGCCAGCACGTTCTCAACAGGCATCAGGTGACCGAGATAGGCCGGAGCCCGATGACCTTCATCTCCCTCGTGATACTGCTAAGCAAAAGCACGCAACCGATAAAGACACTGCAATAGTTGAAACTAAACCGCAAATTCAATTAAAATGTGCCAGACCAACGAAGGCCAAACCAGCCCCTCCTGCGTCGTTGAAGCTGGGAAAGTCGCCGAAGGAACCTGCAGATTCAACGGGGACTGCTTCTACCATCGAGCAGGAGCACCTCACTGCAGCTCACGTGCAACAAGATATTATCGTAGATCGGATTTCGGGAGTCGAGCGAGAGCAGTTGCCAGCAGTTCCTCCAACACAGCAGCAGCAAACGACTACAGCAGACACGCAACGAATCGCTGAAGTACCGAGGCAGCAAGCAACTACAGCAGAGAAGCCGCTGACAGGTGATTCTTCGAACGCGCAGGACTCACTAAAGGAGGCATCCACGGCTGAGGTAGTTTTGCCCCAGGTTGACGCTTCTTCTGCCACTGCTGCTGGTTCGCCCTTGGCGAAGCTGCTTGCCCGTCGTCTAACGAAGCAGTCGGGCCCGTTTGTTGAGCGATCTCTCCCAGACGGCACCACAATTATTGTTAGCACTGAAGACGGCGGCTCTTCAAAGCCCAAGGCGAAGCCGCCCAGCGGAAGCGGCCTGCTGTTGCCCCCCCAAACGAAGAGCGAAGGCATCCCTCACGGGTTGCACCGCCTGTCGACCCCACACCATGAAGACCTCAGAATGCACCAGTCTCCGTCCATCATGAGGCACTTAGAGATAAACGAGACTGTCCAGCAAATGCGCGCACCCAAGCCGAAGCCGCCAATGGCGGCTTTGTTGGGACATGCTCAGCGCAGGGCTACCGTTCCAGATATTCCAGCAGACATTGCAGCCCCCGCTAGTATCGATACAGATTTTCAATCCCCATGCCAGAACCAAAAGGAATTCATACATGCAGATACCGACACCCTAACGAAACAATCAGCAAACAAACGGTCAACTGGACATGCCAACACGATACAGGTAACCCTGCCTAAAACAGTGGGAGACACGCCTCATACCTCTGTCAATCCACCAGAACCTCTGCCTACACACGATGTCTCCCTGTCGGCGGGAGGGACAGACGCCCCCCCAAAAGCGCCGAGCGAGGACGAGAAGAAGGCGAAGGCTGTGTGCAAACTACCACTGCCTTCCAAAGCACTTGGCGCCAAGCTGCCTCCACCACTTCCTAAACCCGCTGGACCAAAGCCTCTGCCTTCTGTAGAGGGTAAAGCTGTTGTGGCTGAGGAGGAGGTGGGCGTGTTAGACGACAAGGCGGAGGGTCCTGCGAAGGATCAGAGCGAGGACGAGAAGAAGGCGAAGGCTGTGTGCAAGCTGCCACTCTCTTCGAAAGAAGTTAGGACGAAGGAAAGCCTTCCTCGCCTTAAAAGAGTTTTGTCCAAGGCTCTTCCTTCTGTAGAGGGTAAGGCGGGTGTGGCTGCAGAGGATGTGGTCGTGTCAGAAGTCAAGGCAGATGGCTCTGCTTTGATGGAGGGCAAGAACGCGAGCACACCTCAGGGTACGCAGAACCCGCAGGCGTTAGTAGTTAGAACGTGCTGCTAGGAAAATGTGGAGTACCAACCCAGGTTGCTGCTGAGTTTCTTTGTTGAAAATTAGGCTCCCTAGTGGGAGTGTCTTGGTAGCATGGTTGAAGCCCCGAATGCACCGGTATGAAGGTAGATCTATACGGCTCTACAACGCGCCTTATGTTTGTTCATTTGTTGAGCAGGTACACCGCCGTCGATTGCTAACGAGCCGCTGAAGGAGGCTGGCTTGCAGGTGCTTGAGGAGTTGTCGCATTCCTCTCATGCGGCTGGAGAGTCGGCAGTCGAGGAAAATAGGTCTTTTTCTCGCCTTGGAGGCACACTCGAGAATGTAGATATCATGAAGCTGTCAACGGCTTTGCTGTCAAGAGGCACAAGTGTTAAGGCAGCAGACAAGCCGCTCACCAGAGGTGCTGCTTCTCCCCAGCCGAAAGCCAACCCAAAGTCATCCAAAGATGTGCCGAGCTCTATGGATGAAGCGGCTGTGAAAACAATGACAATACCAAAGCTTAAATCTACAGAGATGCCTCTTACAAAAGGTACACCCCTCTTAAAGCCGTCTCCCCCCAAACTGGTTAACTCTAAGACTAAAGTGCATGCCAAGCCAAGAACTATGCCGATGGTGGTCGCAGACATAGCGAGGCAAGCAACGTCCAGAGATTGGTCTTTTGCCCCCACCTCAATTGATACTGAACTACTGATCTTCCAAAGGCAGGATTACATCTCAACAGGGCACACTTTTTATATTATGGGCCCTAAGGCTGTTGTCGAGTCTATTCCAAGAGTTGACGAGCTTCCGCAGTCTCGATGCATGTCAGCTGCAGAAATGAGCACAGATTCTGGGGCGCTTGTTGGCTTCGACGAGATTAAGGCTCTGTATGATTCACCGACGGACCTGATTCCCTGGGACTGCAGCCTCAAGACTTCAGCGACCGGTAGCTGCATGCAATTACGCAAGCTTCCACCCGTACAGTACGCCACGGCTCTCAGCGTGTGGAGCGAGCTGCTACTGCATCAGAAGAACCAAGTCATATCCGTCGTAGGGGGATGCCATCAAAGTACGGTTATTGCGGCGAATGCGCTTAGTCGAGTAGTCCCGTTCAAGTGTTCCTTTTACAATATGCCTGCTAATCATATGTTGACGGGCTGTCTTGTGTTAACAAATCTGGCTATGGGGACTTGCAGGCAGTGATCGAACTGTGCCCTCTCTTTTGGCCGGCTTTGGCCTTTTGAGTGGATTCGCCGTAAAGGAACAAATGGTCTTCATCCGAAGTGCCAGTCGGATTTACGAGGTAAGTGCAACCACAGAGTTTAGTGACGTCACTGTATACAACTTGGATTCCTGGTACACAGAAACGTTTCTTAAAGTATAATTGGTACGATAACGGTTGTTGCAGGTTTTGGCGTTGTGGAGCACCATCGTGTCTCCTGACAAGGGGGAATGGAACTTGTGCCAGTGGAGGTGGGTAATCAGTTTTAACGGCACTGGCCAGGCTAGTGGCATCTCTCTCAAAGGCTTCCTGATACGGGAATATCCTCATGCAGATGAAGGCCTTCTAAAGATTGTTCTTATCGCTGTACAGAGTACGTACAGCAATCATTTGAAGCGAACTAGTAGTTCCCTATGCGCTGGTAGGCCCACTGCAGGCATGGAGGGTAAAGGCGGGTTCCAACTCGTGCACCCGTTTGCTGCAGGCGCTGTATCTGACGATTCTACTCCACAAACTCTAGGCCTCCCAGGGTTGTCGCCTGAGCAACTGCGGGACTCATTACTACATGGGTGCCTTGAACGTTTTAAAGAACACAAAACGACTTCGACAAAGCTCTCATCCATAAGAGAAGAGATACGAACAACGCTCAGTTGCAACGTTGTGGAGGTATGCGATCTCGTGGTTTTACATATTTGCTTCGCCCAACGCCTGTTTTGGTTGTGCGCTGTCTTAGATGCATTATGTGTTCATGTTGCTTCCGCAGGCAACCAGTATGCTCCGCATTTGTTTGGCTTACTGGGTCCTGTCTAAAGGCGCCAATTTGATATCTGAAGACCTTGACTTCGCGGAGCAGCTTCTTGGTGCACAGACAGGGCTACTTCACACGATCTTCAAGCAGTGTTCAGGGCAGGAGGAGGATTTGTCTCGACAGCTACGCAGTTCTCTGTATGAGAGTCTTTTTTACTTTGTGGTACAACTCGCCAACAGAGAAGTGCAGGTCAGTGATAAACACTCGGTCAACAAACTGCCAGTGGATTAAGTTTCGGGTGGTTGGCTTTGCATCGGTAATCTTTCTTCCCAGTCGGCTATCCTCTCGGTTGTCCGTGCAGCGTTCCTTTAAACCACTCTTACCCGTGAAGTCGTTTGCTCCTCAGAGCAGACCTCTAGAGATAATAATTGAAGGTATGTGCACTCTCACCACGTTCCTAACAGCTTTTAGGGAGGCGCTACTACTATTCACCATGCTGCATTGATCCAATGTGCTTTGTTTCGTTATCCCTGCAGAGTCCCCGTCTTCAAGTTCGGCAGATGGCCTTCTCTCGTTCGGGGGATTGGCAATTCAGGCCGTGCAGGTAATGCAAGAAGGGGTCCATAGGTGAAGTGTATTTGTGTTTTTGTCTATCTTACTCTAATCATCAATTTAGAGCATGGATTTTCCAAACAGGAAGTCTAGAAAACTTTTTTTGCGGTGTCTTCCATCTCCAGGTGTTGCATATAGCAGTTGCATTCCGTGGCATCCACAACCTTCAGCGCGCCTTGGATGCAGATGACGTAAAGTTGCCTCCATACCTTAACTCCATGCGACAGAAACCCCACGTTCAGCTGCTATTGGAGCTTCTCTTTTCAAGACACGGTGGCTTGATTCCATTTCTTGCAAGTGGACGGAGGAACCTGGAAGGTGTGTAGGTCCTTTTGTAAGGGTCAACCGTTTTGAACTACCTGTACAGTTGCTCAGTGTACAACCAGACAAGCATTTGGAATGGATTGGTGTCGTTGCAGACATGGCTGCTTGGGTGGAGTGGGTAAGCGCAAAGCCATGCGCAAAAGAAGTATTGCACGTCGCCCCGGATGGTTCAATACTCATTGACTGGCTAGGGCACTGGTCTCGTACGGATTTGAAAGAGCTGACGAGGGCGTCTTCTACCATTATTGGACCCCCATTTCGTTTATTTGAAAGCCTGTTGCGTTCGGTAAGCACATACGGAGGCTTTGCTTGTTAGCCTATCATGGCTCCTTACCAGAGCTAGTTCAAACGCATGGAATTCGCCAACACATGCTCATAGAGACGAGAAGGGCCAAAGTACCACTGCTGTGGTGAGACATTTTATGCAGGCCTCCGCTACAAGAATGCTTGGGCGCATTAGGAACTGCAGCCCTGCAGCGCTCCTTCTCCAAGCAGTTGAAGATTCCCTAGCGGTCGGCATGGTTGAGAGACCAGTACTTGTCGTTCGCTCCTCGGACTGTCGTACGTGCCCGCCTCATGAATATCGCTAGACAGGCCGTGCAGGAATTTGCTGTTGTTTGTTTAACCTAAGAGTGGCCTAGTGTCTCACTTTAGGGATGACTCCACTGCTGCTTGCAAAGTAGCTGCCCCACTGTCTACCCGTGATCACTGACGGCATTACTTTTACGGCAGCTTAATTTAAAGGAGGAGGCGAACAGTGTAACATGGCCTACACATGCATTGTTTGCTACAGGACTGGCCAATTGGACTCATGAAGAACTCCGAAATGTTGAGAATTGGCAGAGGTGAGCAACACATGTGACCCCAAACACATAGATATGCTCCAGCCTCCCCTTTCCACAGAGCCAAAAGTTACGGTATATGTTCGTTTGTGTGGGTATATAACTCAGCTTTGGCTTTCCAGTGGTGGCACGTTTGGAGGACCTTCCGAAGTATTGCCCTCGACTATTTGGGGACGCGGCGTTTGGAGACAGAGAGGCCATCATTCGCATACTAGGACAGTACATTGATGTTGAGGACTTCGCAGCGGGGAATTCATTCCTCTTTTTCAGGAGCTCAGGGTACAACTCGCTTTATGCATTTGAGCTGGCGGCTAAATCCATTGTAGGGGAGCGAAACGAAAGACTACAAGCGCTGGAATGCCAGAAGAAGCGTTTACAGGCATGGAAAGCCGAAGTTCAGAGCTCTTTTGGGAAGGTGGGAACGCGAGTTCAGGAACTTCCTAAGCCGCCAGCATCAGCCACCTCGCATTCCTCGTGTAGTGACCGGTTGCCTAGTGGGGACCTTCTAGTTGATCAACGCCTTCAAAGCAAAAGCTCTGAAGGCGTGCACCTAAACAGAAGCAGACCTGGAAGTAGCAGATTTGTTGAGGAGAGCTCTGAGTGCTCTCAATCATTAAGCGCAGCTAGTTATGCTGATTTTGCAAAAAGCTTAGATGCATCTGCTCGTGCCTGGCAGTCGTGTCCTGTGCTCCTTGAAACCGAAGATGACCTAAGAGATACACCCCTCCGGCCTAGCCTTTCTCTTGGCTTCTTCCCCTCCTCATCTAAATTGTTAGCACTTAAAGGGGTGGAAGGACCTGCAGAGTTACGCCGAATGTGCCAGTCGATTGACCTCACCAGCAAAGAGCCGGTACCTCTTAATGGCGCCGGGTGTACTACCTCTGTGGAGAAAGAAGCTTGTACTGAAACAGATGCAGGAGTCAAAATCGACAACTCTTCTAGTTCAGTTGAGCAGGTGCCTCTGTCCGCCGCTGGCGATAGCACACCAGCGGCACAGCAGGTGATGGTTGTGCAGCCAAAGAAGCCTTCGTTTCCGAGTAGTCAGATACATTCGAACGGTGGTGACTCACGAAAGAACTCATTGCGGGCAACGGACCAGCAGACTGGGCATGCAGAGAAGAGCGGAGACAAGGTATTCCAGGGAGCAAATAAGAAGAGCGAGGAGTTTCAGAAGGGCTCTTGTGGTAAAGTACAATCTAAAACCGCACAGCCCGCCAACGAGTCGCCTCCTGTGGAGAATGGGTATTTGGTAAGGGATGGGGCTCTTGTTGAATCTGAAGGAGGTGAAGTGGACAAGGATTGTCCGGATTATTCACAAAACGGTTCACGTGAGGCCGGAAGTGAGGTAAATTCAGAAACGTCAAGCAGGCCGTTAGGAAAAGGAGAGAATACGGGTGCTCACAGTTCTTTTTCCATGGAAGCAGGGCCTCAGCCTCAAATGAATAAGAGCCTAGCTGCTGGGACTGCAGAGATTGAGGGTGTTACAAGTGAAGCAAAGAGGTCACCAGATGATTCTGTGAAAGTGCAGGTTGCGGCCCAGAAAACTCCGCCTCCACCCCTCGTCCTAGCGACAAAACAACCAGAACAAGCTACATGTGGCCCCTCGTGTACGCCAACTGAAGCGGTGCTGCCTTATGAGCACTCCGGCGACGGGAAAAATTGTAAGCCAGAGTAAGGCCCGCGGGGGGTGGGTTGCCTTCCTTCTTGACGCAGTAGTCTTCCTCCCTACGGGGATTAATGGCGTTGAGACCCCAACAAATAACACCTCCCATCTTCCGGTGTTTTCTGTGTATTGCTCAGCCTTGTCAGCAGGAGGCATCAGGGCGATGTGGCGTACAAATAAAAGGGATATAGCGTGGCGAGGGCTAGTGCTCCTTCCAAAAGGGTGCACTGACGGGTTGGGTCAATCATAACCTGGTGACGCGACCTTCATCAATTTGGATTAAAAAAACTTGCCAAATAAGTTTTTCTGGGCTGCAGGGAACAATGAGGAGGCTATCCACATCCAATGATGCACCAACAGGAAGCTATTTCTTTGGCATTTATACTTGACAACCAACCACTAAAGATTTGCCTGTCACGTCCATCCGGTGGGCTATGCGGCTCCCTTTGCACTACAGTTTTAGTGCAAGTGAAAGCAACTGTCTAGCGTAAGTGCGCCGTATATGCATACAAGTTGCAAACCGAAGTTCACTGTCAAACCGCATTTTCTTTTGTCGGCTCAACAGATCAGCCGAAACCCCCATAGTTAGTCGAAATTGCAAGGCTGCTTATATAGGTGTGCTCCAAGCACCTCCCCATTCTGCTTTCATTCAGTACCATTCCTGTGGCTTTTCTAACGGGAATCCGCATCATAAGAAAGGGAACTCGAGAGAGCATACTGAAAATTAAGTGGCGATGCCATTGGGGATGCGCCATTAACCGCAAATATTATATGTGCAGCACGCAAAGTGCTGTTTGACATCTGCATCTACGGGTAGGACCCCAAAACTAAATTACAAATCCTAAACCCGCATGCATGCGCTTCCTTTTTCCGGAAAAATAGAGGGAAGTAACGGCGATTTAAATTGATAAGTAAAGTAACTCCCGGAATGCACAACTAGATTGAGAAGCAGCGAAGCGATTGAGTAGCCACAGTATTAGCTGTTTGTTAGTGGCGCTTCCAGCTACACCAGTATCGCAAGCCACGAGAGATTATGCCTATGAGTGAATACATACAAAAATCAGAAATACGAAAGACATAAAGAAACAAATAAGCACATAGCTCTATGGATAAGTAGGCATGAACACGCGGCACTAAATAAATAAACATTTAAATCAATCAATAAGGCACCGTACAACTGGAATAGGAAATACATACATTAGACGCACTGAAAATGAAACATAAGAGGAATACGAAAGCACAAAGGTTGGGCGAAACACGATAAATAAGGCAATAAAAAAATACGGAACAAAAAGAGAATTCCACGGAGTCAAACGAGACGTGATCCGACAAACACATCAGGCAGGATTGGCAATGTAAGGTCTGCACACACTAGTGGCACGGAGAAAACAATAATAGTTAGTACGCACAGACGTAAAAGAGAATTCCACGGAGTCAAACGAGACGTGATCCGACAAACACATCAGGCAGGATTGGCAATGTAAGGTCTGCACACACTAGTGGCACGGAGAAAACAATAATAGTTAGTACGCACAGACAGTGCCTGCAAGGCAGAAATACATAATTCCAGGAGGAAGCAATTCAGGTAGGGAGTGAACACTATAAAGGGAGAGTTCTTTATCTAGGCATATTGAGTGCTGACCCTGCTAGCCTAAGTAGAGCACAGGACACAGCCTGTGACGGAGGATTAGCGCTATTGCACACATCCAGCCTGCGCAAACGAAGGGGAGAATTATTCACGCAACCGTTGCAGCTAGTCGATTGAGTTGGAAACACACACAGACCCACCGACGCAATTGCGAGACGGCGGATCACACGCCACAGGCGAAACAGCACTTCCTCAGCGTAACAGGAGAATCCCTGGGCAGGGAGTAAATAACAATCGATGCACGAGGACGCTCGGACAAACACAGGCACTCGGCCAGAAGCTAGGAAGCCTCAACGAACACACACATACACACACACATACACACACACACACACACAAATACACACGCACACACACACACACACACGCACCACAATACCGCAGAGCGTCGCACCACAGAGAGCAGCCCACTCCTAGCAGTAACTTCAGGCATGGTGGGGGGGAGGGGG